AATGTTGAATTAATGGTGTAAGCTTTTTATTGGATTAATATCAGTTAACTCTACTGTCAATCTGTCATACTTCTCAGCCATCCTGTGACTTTAAGCCTTGCGTAATCTTTATAACTCCCCATCTCAGTGCATCAAAGGTCTATCGTTCTGAGTTTAAAGTCATCATTGATATGCAAGCTAGATTTAATGAGAACAATATCCAGACATTACCCTCTGTTGCATGACTCAAGTGTTTTTCGTTCTTTATCTCACCATCTTTCAGATCGACGCTCATGAGGATGATGTGAATGCCGTAGCGTTTGCAGACAGTTCATCACAGCTGCTGTTCTCAGGCAGTGATGATGCTCTGTGTAAGGTATGGGACAGACGTACCCTCAGAGAAGACAGACCACAGCCTGTGGGTCATCTGGCCGGACACAGAGATGGAATCACCTTCATACACAGCAAGGTATAATAGCACAATCCATACTGTCATAATTGATGGTATCATTGTCAAGACACTGTTTGCAATACAGTTACAACACACTGCACAAACCTTTTACATAATAATACGTGATTATAAGCCAGATGATTGTGAGCATGGTACAATATACACTTCTATTCAAAGGTTTGGAGTCAGTATAATTTTTTTAATTATTTTTGAAAAAGGTTTTATGTTAACCAAGGCTGCATTTATTTGATCAGAAATACAGTAAAAACTGTAATATTGTGAAATATTATCACTATTTAAAATAACTGTTTTCTATTTATATTATCTATCTATAATATATTTAAAAATGTAATTTATTCCTGTGATGCAAAGCTGATTAAGTCTTCAGCATCACATGATCCTTCAGAAATCATTCTGATTTGGTGCTCAAGAAACATTTCTTCTTATCATCAATGCTGAAAACTGTGGAAAATTGTGGAAACTGTGATACATTTTTCAGGGTTCTTTGATGAATAGAACGGTCAATAGAGCATTCATTTGTAATAAAAATCTTTAGTAACAATGTGAAAGAAAGTCTTTACTGTCACCATTGCTAAATTTAATGCATGCTTGCTGAATATAAGTATTATTTTTTTAATCCTCCTGACCCCAAACTTTAAACAGGAGTGTATATGTAGGACTCATTTATCAATTTATGTAAAAGAATCAAATCAAACTGACAAATAAATACAATAGCATATTTAAAACTATTGATGTTTGAAAATGTAGTTCAATGTAAAAATAAATTAATTATTCACTTTTGATATTGTATTTACAAATATACAGTATATAGACATTAAAAAATATTAATTTAATTCATGTTTAAAAGTTAAATGTAACAAAATAATACATTAAACACATTTATTATTGTTATTATTAATAATATAACATTATTTGCAATGGAACATTATTTGAAAAGTAATTATTTACATTTAATTTTTTAAAGAATAAATTATATATTTTTTTATTTTATTTTTAAGTGGTACTCCTAGTCCTCCATAAAAATATTCACTCAAAATAGCAGAGTAACCTTTTGTGTAGCTACTTATATGAAGTATTCATTGAAACTACATGCCAGAAATATGTGGATACTCCCTTCTAATTAATGGGTTTGACTATTCCAGCTGCGTCCAGGTGCATAAAAGCAAACCGTGGATGTCCACATACTTTTGGCCATGTATTGTATGTCACAGTAAACAAGATGAAGGTAGTTAAACCGTTAAAGAGTTTGACTGTTATCATAAAATTTGCAGGTTCAAATGCATGTATGTATGTTGTCCTATAGGGCGACGCTCGGTACTTGATCAGCAACTCCAAAGATCAGACCATTAAGTTGTGGGACGTGAGGAAGTTTTCACCTAAAGAGGGGCTCGCAGCCTCACGGCTCGCTGTCACACAACAAAACTGGGACTACCGTTGGCAGCAGGTTCCCCAGAGAGGTGCGTTAGCATGCTTGAGTAACTATAATAGACCTGCTAGACCTGCTGGTTTATGGTCAACCTTAATTTTACAATTGAACACAAAGCGCCTGTTCTGACTTGTTATTTTGTTGACCTGCAGCACTAAAGAGGCATAGGCTGACTGGTGACACCTCTGTGATGACCTACAGGGGTCACGGGGTTCTGCACACGCTCATTCGCTGCCGCTTTTCCCCTGAATTCAGCACTGGACAGAAGTTCATTTACACAGGCTGTTCAACAGGCAAAATCGTCAGTAAGTAGATAATAATTGCAAGTGTGAAATTGTCTTTGAAAGTGGCTTTTTATTATTATCCAAATCTGCATTATTTCAACTCCTCCCATCTTTTTTTGTAGTCTACGATGTGTTGACGGGAAGCATTGTGTCCAAATTGTCCAATCATGACGCATGTGTGAGGGATGTCAGCTGGCACCCGTATCACAACAACATGGTCAGCAGCTCTGTAAGTAAAACCATTGTTTAATAATAGTTTATTTTGTTAATGAAATGATGAAATATATTTGTTGACAAGAAGACACAACATCATTAAACAGTTAATGTATCTACAGGCGCATTGACCAAAAAGACGGGACTTATTTATATATATATATATATATATATATATATATATATACATATACACAGACATATATATGACATAATAGAGATATACACCGATGATCCATTACATTATGGCCACCTATCAAATAACCTGTAGGACCTCCTTTAGCCCACAAAACAGCAGCCACATAGTGAGGCATTGATTAGATAAGGTGCCGATAGGTCTTCTGGGGTATCTGGTACCATATGTCAATAGCAGGTCCTCCAGTTCCTGTACAATGTGGAGTGGTGCTGATGTAGCGCAAACCCGCTTTTTGGTTGGTTTCATGCAAGGTGAATTTGGAGGCAAAGGCATTAAAGGAAATTCACCATTTTGTTCCTTGAACCACTCCTTGATGATTCTGGCAGTGTGGCATGGCACATTATTCTGTTGATAATGCCCATCACTGACAAGGAACACAGTTGCCATGAATGGGTGCACTTGGTCCGCAACGATGTTCAGGTACCTGACAGCTGTCAGGGATTGTGCTACTGGGATAATGGGGCCTAAAGTATCTCAAGAAAACATCGCCCACAGCATAACACCGCTGCCAACGGCCTGTGTCCGCCCAACAGTGCATCCAGGTGCCATAGCCTCTGTTGGTAATCAGCGTTTCTGCGCTTGGCCATTAATTTTTGATGCACCAGGAATCTTGATTCGATACCAGGCCACTTTCTTCCAATAATCAATGGTTCAACTCGATGATCTTGGGCCCATTTCATGCGTTGTTGGCGATGACGTGCAGTTTGCATGGGGACCCGGCTGGGTCGTCGGCTATGCAGGCCCGTATGCAGAAGGCTGCGATGAACAGTGTGCTGTGACACATTGCCCTGCTCACCACTGTTGTATCTGCTGCTGATTTGTCGCACTGTGGCCTTGCGGTCGCTGTGAACAATGCATGACAGTCTCTGCTCCCCTCTGGCATCTATGAGCTGTGGACGACACACGGCTGGACGACGGTTCAACATTTGGCCATCCGTGCACCACTTTTGATACATACTCACTACTGCGTTTCTGTTTCTGAGATCGAAGTTCCGAGGCGCCGTGCCATCACAATTTGTCCTTTATCAAACTTCGATAAATCGGCAGCTTTTCCTATTCTGACAGCGAAAGCTCTACTGACTGAAAGTAAGTGCTCCGGTGGTATATATACTGCTCTGTGAACTGCACCTGCGGCAACATTCGGTTGCCAGGCGCGCTCATTGCTCTAGGCTGAGAGGCTTTTGAGTTTACTAGTTTTCATAATGTAGAGTATGTTCATTTACATACTCTCTACATTATAAAATCATGATTATAATTTTTAGCAAAATGATTGTGATTATTGGTTTAATCATTATGCAGCATTACTGAAATATAAGTTTCATAAGATTTCATTGACTAAAACTAGACTAAAATTCCCAGCCTTTTAGCCAACTAAAACAGTGTAGGTTGACTAATATGATGAAAACTAAAAAGGACATTTGACCCAGGACTAAGAACTAGAAATTAAAAAACATAACTTTAACACTAAGGGCCCTATTTTAATTATCTAAGCACATGGTCTAAAGCACATGGCGCAAGTGCACTTAGGGTGTGTCCGAATCCACTTTTGCTAGTTTAACGACGGGAAAAATGGTCAGCGCACCCGGCGCATGGTCTAAAAGGGTTGTCCCTATTCTCTTAATGAGTAATGGGTGTGTTTTGGGCATAACGTGCAATAAACCAATCAGAGTCTCATCTACCATTCCCTTTAAAAGCCAGTTGTGCTCGCGCCCTGGTGGATTCACTATCTACATGGCGGAATTTGCAAGAGCAAAGACTGAATGCTTCTCCAGAGAGTAACCATCTACGGGGCACAATAATAATCTTTTAAATTGTAATCCTTTCATTTTTAATATTTGACATGTTTGTGTGCTGCTGCGTGTCCGTGTGGGTAATAAGCAGAGTGTACGCACGTTGTTCCCCCGCCTATAGGCGCATATTACTAACGCGC